TCAAATTTTCAAATTTCAACTGAATGCATTTTTTATTTTTTCATTACTTATAAGTTACTGATAATCTGATTATCTTATATGTCTTTTTTCTCTATTTCATCGTTAAAAGATTGATATGTTAGCCTTTTTTACGTGGTGCTTATGTAGTTCACGCTGCTCATATTTACAGATAAACTGTTGGTTTATGACTATCATGATTTGTGTTTATCAATTCAAGGGGTAAACTCTATCTTTAAAAGACTTTGAAATGAAAAAAGAAGCGTATAAGAAATGCTTTAACAATGACTAACTTATTTATCAAAAATTGAAGCAATTCTTCACTCAGAATTAATTTATTCTTCAAATATTCAGCAGAAGATTTTTCGTTTTTTTCTTGACAATATCAAATATCAGTTTCAATTCTATTGTCTTATCAATACTTTATTAATTTTTAATAAAAAATTCCTTTTGAAACATCGTTCTTTTTTCTTCAAAAACTTTTAATCCTTTTGTGGAAAGTTTTAAAAGAACAATGTTGTCTAATTGAAAAAATCTATTGCAAAAATTAATAAAATTTTCAAAAGTTAAAAAAATTTTTTTAATATAACGGATGATATTTCTCATGAATTAACTTTTCAGCACAAAATTATTGCACAGCTATTACTTTCAAAAATAAGAAAACAAATTAAAATTAAAAAAAAATCAAAAACGTTAAGGAAATTCCAGCCCTAAACATTTTAACATCAAAAGATTAGTTATTTACCAATCAGAAAATGACGCGAATTACGTCAAAGTGTCGAAATTTTATCATAAATTCATGTTTTGGTTAGAATTGAAATAATATTAAATGATATTGCAATAATGTTGACAGAAGCGTCCTGTTCGACCTTTGAACCTCAAATTTCTCTACGAAAATGCTACAAAAATTGTTTCAGCTTGCATTCAAAGCATGACCTGGAAAATAGTACTGAAGGGACCACCGTTATCAATAATAATAATTTCGATAACAGTTCAATGAATAACAGCCAACAACAACAACAACAGGAAATTCCTGGTGCTTTGAACGGTAAGTTATAAATGCTTTTGCTTAATTTTATCAAATTTGAATATTTCATCCAGTTATTACTTAAGCATCAATATCAGTAAAACCAGAATGATAGCCTGAAAATGATTGCCGATCAAATTGTCATTACAGGAGATTTGCTGTTATTCTGGTAAATCTTCATCGAAAATACTCGTTTAAATATTATTTCATAAGAATGCTATAATTTTTTGCTTTTTTCAATTTTATAAGTTAGTCCTGAATTGAAAAATAGATAAATGAGAAAAAAAAGAGAGTATTATAAAATTCCCGAAAAGATAAAATTTTTCCCGAAAAGATAACATTTTGAATGGATATTTAATGCAGTATCATAATTTAAATTTTTAATTTTGAATTTATAAAGTGAAATTTTAAGAAGGATTGTTTAAAGTTATCAAAACTTTGTAAATGAAAAGGTGTAGAAAGGGATTAAATGTTACTTCTGAAAGATTTCTAATAGATCATTTTATTATTATTATCACTGTTACTATTATTAATTATTGCTATTGTCGTTACTGCTGAACTACCACTATTATTACTATTTTATTGTATTAATTTTATGGTTATTATTATTATTATCAATTATTAATTATGTGGTGGTTGTAAATGGACTGTTGAGTTTTCGATATCTTTCATCAAAATTTGTGATATTGTAAATATCATTCATTTATACCAATGCTTTTTGAAATCCTTTCTTTTAATGAAAAGTTTCACAATGCATACTTTGCTGCTGTATACTTGCTAGAATAATTTATAAATTTCCAGCTTTTGTGAATTTTCCAAATTTGCACTGATAGGATAAATTTGAGAAATAACTGAGGAACGGAAATACAGATAGTGCCATAATGGAATTCGTTTTATAATATTTTAAATCTTAATTGTATGCATTATTCCTGTTTGGTTCATTATCATTCATTTGCTGCCTTTTAAGATAATTTAATATTTAGGAATGGAATTCAAGAATAAGAATTTAAAATTTATTTTGGACCAATATATCAGCCAGCATTAAAAATACAAAAGAGCATTTCAAAAAAAAAAATAATTAATAGTTCTGTAATTAATTCCTGAATATTTAAAATAATTTTTCAAATGAATAATGTTAAAATTAAAGTTAATCTTGCGCTTTTCACTCCTTCTTTTTATTCATTTCCAGCATTTTCTTTCCATTATTTTCATTATTTTTCACTTATTGCTTTTTTTTTAAAATTCTTTGAAGAAATATTTCAGAAAACTTATTTACAGAGCAATTCCCTTTCCATTATTCTCGTAGATTTTATTTTTCATTCTTCCCGTTATCTCCTGAAAGATCATTTGATCGAGGGAGGAGAAGAGAAGAAGTGATTAGTAGATATATTTATAAATTTAATGCAGAAATTCATCCTAACTGCATTTTCAACTTTTTCGTTAAAATATTTACAATATAATTTTTAAGTAAATGAAATTTATCAACAAAATCAATGAAATGATTTCAGAAAGAAAAAGCATTCGTTCATTTCTGATATAATAGCTAAAAATTGTTTTTTTTTTCTCTTCTAATTCTTTTATTCTCATTTAAAATTCTCGTGCTTCCACATCACATCCTCTTCTATTTTTATTTCTTTCCTAAAATATTAAACTTACTATAAAAATTTAATAAATTTTATCCTATCATTATCCAACAAATTAGAATCTTCCATTCATAAGCAGCTACTAACTTCAATTTCACTGATATTTTACAAATAAAAGAAAAAAAGAACAAAGAAAAAATAATAAGGCAATAATGCGATTAACTAATTTATTTAAAAAAAATTAAACTACAGTATGGTTGCAGAAAAAAGGAAGAAGACAAATTCAAACAATAAAATTTTTGCTTATTCAAAAATTTTTAGCAACAAAGGAGCGAAATCGTGAAAAACGACGCTCCTGGAGAGATAAGTCATCAAGCGCACAGGATAACGGTGCACCGGAACATGTCAACGAAGGTTAGCCAATAAATTTTAACAAAAAATCATTAAGTGTGTAATTAAATTATGCACTTTAAATATTTCCCTCATCTCTTTTTCTATTTTCAAATTGATGCTCGAATTCAATCCTTTTATGAAATGAATTAATTACACTTTTAACAATTTCAATTTCAATTCTAACAATGTATAATTTAACAATAGGTAGTGTAGTTATACATCTGCGCCTAGAAAAGTGTGTGATGAATTGAAATGAATTAATTTAGTGATTTTATCGCTGAGACGATTGAAATTCAATCAGTTGTTCATATTTCAGTTTAATCTTTAAAACTTTTCTCATGTTATCATTCAATTGATAAGAATTTCATATACCAATCTTCTCTCTCATTTTTATATTCAATAACTGTTTTTTAATACTGATATAATTCGTCTTTTTTTTGTTGCTGCTTCTAATAAACTTTTTTATTTACAGGTGTTGACGAAGATACCACCTCTTATAGCTCGTATAAATCAATTAATTCAAAGGAAATGTCAAGTGATAAATCTGCTGAAAGTGTATCAGATACCAAAAGCATGATAACAGCAATTTCTGAAAG